AACTTTTTCATGCAAATTTTAAACCGATTAAAATGAAAATTGTGAACTGTTTCTCAAACATTGTTCAAAATGGAGCTTAAGGAAGACTGTTGCGATTCTCGGGATCCTATGTTATCGGAGAACCTTCCAAAGTATCCATTTTGTATATGTTGTGACAAAGGTATTCCTATTTCCTATCTCAATGCACTTTCCCAAAATCATCCAGTATTTCAGTAGTGATTCACAAAAATCAAATTTAATAACATTGTTTCAGTTTTAAAATTCTTTAAGTTAAATTTATTCTGGTGATGAAGATCAGTAGATTAGAATGGCGTAAAATTTTACAAAATCTTTGATTCATGCTCTACGAAATTATTTCTTCCTAGATTGCATCGCTGTTTTTATCTAAACAAATTTTTGCAAAAGTAGTAAAACTGAAGATTTTTTTTTCGCTTTTGCAGAGCACAAAAAAAATAATATGCAGAAGAGTAATATTATGAAAATTAATGAAAAATTAAGTTTTCATTCATAAAAACCTTCCCATAACGTAAATTTACAGCTTATTTTTATAAATTAATACCATACAACACAATTTGCATTGCATGAAACTGAGACTATCACTGAACACGAAATTTCCTAAAATTTTGTCAAATATCTGCTCTTTTTAACCGTATTTTAAATTAGTGGAAAAAAAGAGATTATTTTATTATATAATTGTTAACATAACATCATATGTTTTCAGTCTTTTTGATAAGCATCATCATCCTAAAAATGATCACAAAGTCCCTCGCATTATTTGTCAATTTCTCCTTGCACTAATTGACATTTTATTATAATAAACGTAATATATATATGCAAATTTTTTTTTTTTTTTCATCCTTAAGTTATCCCAAAATTCTTACTTTATTAATTGCATTTTTTTAAGCGCTGCTAACTTATTCTGAATTTATCACAAGGTTTAAGCATCCATTTCATTAATATCATGTTAAAAAACAGCTTTAAAATTTATTATCAAGTTCTTTAACTGTCTCAAAGCATAATATCAATATTGCAAAAGAAGTAACAATTACGTTGGAAAGAGCGTTTAATTTTATTCACAATTATAAGTTTATTAACTCTATCAACTTTATTTAGAAATATGCGATTTCAAAAGTTTGCCGTTCGATTCTTGCACTGATAAAGTAGATTTGAATTTGGAAATCGTTATGGGAATCAGCTGTGATATTTTAGAGAATTTATATCAGGAGTCGTATAGTGAAGAATGGCGAGATTTCTTTGATCAATACAATAGTATCGATGGCATTCAAGTCCTCCTTAATTTTTTGAAATATTCCGCATTCCAATTGAAAATTTAATAAATATATCATTATTCTATCTCAGAAATAAAAGTTAAAATTAAACTAAATTATTTTCTCTCAATAAAAATATGTCTGCTATAACGTAATAAGATAACACCAGAAGATGACTGATCCGATCGAATAAATCCACAAATCGTCTTGCAGGAAATATTTGTGAAAAGACAAGATGAATGGATTAGTCCCAAAGGACCACGTAAACGTTATCAGCGTTTTCGTGATAAGCGTTATATTTGTGATCAATGCGATCGTTGTTTTACTTTAAAGCAAAATGTTCAGTATCATATTGTTACTTACCATCTCGGTAATCAACAGATCATCAGTAATCGTGGCAAGCGTTACGTTTGTCTTACTTGTCAAAAAGTAATCTGTCCATTTATTTATTTCTAACCTTTCCAGACAAATACCATAAATTAGTAAGCAAAGGAAGTAATCTGAAATAATACTTATGACTTCTTAAACTGTAACCCCGTACTATACAGTCCAAAGAATATTTAATATTCTGCAAGCAATAAGTACTAAAATGATTTATTCAAATCAAATAAATTTATAAAAGCTAAATTCAGAAATGATTTAGAAAATAAAAAACAAATAGCAAAATAGCAATTAAATCAAAGCATAAAATTGACATTTCAAAACAGAATCATTGAAAAAAAAAAAGCCAATAAATGAAAACGAAAAGAGTAATTCAATTGAAATTCACTAACAATGTTCTCGGATTTTATTACTTAAATTATTATTTGATTTCAAATGGTTGTAAATTGAAGGTATATCGAAGCGCAGAAGCAGCTCGACATCACAATAAAAGGGAACATTTCCGCTTGCCCAATGTACAAATTCATCGTTGCTCTATATGTACTCGTATTTTCCCAAGTAGTACCCAATTGAAAGAACATATTTCCATACAACATTTGTTAGTTTCCATTTTAAATTTCACTGATTAATTTCTAAGTAAATTTAGGAAATTCCTTGTTCTTTGGTTTAATCATTCTTTCACGTAATGGGCAGTCTTTTCTAATCTCACCTGGATCACGTCTTTGACGTTTGTCTGATTATTTACTCGACTTAGCACTTGTTTCCTATCTGACGTTGCATTATTCGTTCAGTGCGAGAAATAAAAATGAATTTAAAATTCTCGACTGTAATTAAAGAAAAAATCATTTTCATTTTTCATTTACTGATAAATAACAAACATTCTTTCAACAAAACTATAATTTCCTCTTTTTAGACAAGAAAGGCCATATATCTGTGACAAATGTGACGCACGTTTTGGTCGACAAGGAGGTCTCAGACGTCATCACATAATGGTACATACAAATCGACGATATAATTGTCCATATTCAGGTTGCACTCATCCTGGTTTCAAATGTTCTAAGGTTAATCATTTTCTAATGATTTCATCCTTAATCATTTTGTAGTGATTGATAATCGAAAGAATCCTTATTTCTATGCAAGAAAATGGAATTTTATAATAAGATGTAGATGAAAAATTGTAATTATAGCAAATGATTCAAATTGAATTTTAATTGGAAATTTCCTAAAGAGATGAATCATGTTGCCAAATTTTGAGATAAATTTAGTACCATCTTTATTTACATTTTACAAGTTTTTCTTAAATTTTCAGTGCTTTTTTTTTTTGCAGGCTTTAGTAGCTCACATTCGATCACAACACACTAAAGACAGGCCGTTAGTTTCACATTAAAAAAAATTTGATATATAAGTGATTTAGTTAGTGTACAAATTTTTTGTTCATTTGCAATTCTACGACTTTCTTTCAGTAAATTTCTTATGAATAATTTTCGAAAAAATAAATCTTACCTTCAATTTAACTCAATTTTGCAATGTTTTTATGAAATATAAATGCTTATCTCACATTTATCAATTTTGCTTGTCTCATAGAAAAACTATTTTATGTTAATATTAAATGATAGTTGTGATAATAGTCGAACTATAATGTAAGCAACAATTTTACTGCTGCTATAATTAATAGATATCAGTAGGAGTATTCAAAAAACATTTTATATTTCCTATCAGTATTTTCATACATTTTTGCTAGAATCTTCATTTTATATTCGAATGCAAAACTGATTAGCAATTTTTTCATTAAAGATCTCATATGATCTGTAATTTTCACTACATTCATCGCTTCTATTTACGTACATTAAAATACTTTGCTTTTACACAGTGCTAATTCTAATTACAGTTTTGCGTGTTTCGAATGTGGGAAACGTTTCGTACGTCGAAATGATCAACGTGTTCATGAATTGTTGCATACTTCGCATGAGCAGTTTGATTGTAAAAAATGTGGACAACGTTTTCGCCGTCAAATTTACCTTAAGAAACACGAGAATTCATGTCGAGTGATTAATGATAATACTTATTCATCCATCTGTCAACTTCAACAATAAGCTATAGAACGCATTCACATTCGACATATAATAAAAATCTTTCATTTGCTGTTCAATTCTTATAATTAAATATGTGTACTCCTCTTTGTTTACTTATTTTCTAAATTGCTTTAACAAAAACATTAAATATATTTTGGATAACAATGCAAATTTTGTTGTATCAAAGGAAAAAAAAAAAGGCTCTGATTGCTAGACGTTGACACGTTTTTGTTTATCAATACATTTTAACTACTTCTTTAAAAGTAACTAAAATCTCAACAGAACTATTCTATTATACGGAATGATATACCTTTCCGCCGTGGAATAACTATAGCATAATTCTTACCCGTGGGGAAGGGATATTTGGAGGAGGTATGGGTGTATATACCTGCACAATCTAACATATTGCAGGAAAGGAGAGATAAAACATTATTTTTATTTTGACAATGCTAATTTATTTTAATTCAGTTTGCATATTTCTGTATTATGATAGCTTAGCTTTTCTCATTGGAAAATTGAAGCATCCTAACAGAACATTGTTAGGAAAATTTTTGAAGTCGGTGTTTTTGAAGACAATTCGACAAAATTATATTTAAAGCAATAGTCGTTCATATTTGGAACAATGTTAGACCTAATTTAGTAGCAGTTGACAGTAAATTTTAGCCATGAAGCGAGCCGTGAATTGATTGATATTTCATAGTATCAGCGGCGAAAACAAATTTTGACAGGGTTTCAATTTTGACAAGCACTATCTTACCGTAGTTTATGAACAACACTAATTCCATCTTTACCTTGTAATGTCTGAATTGCAAAGTAGTATACTAAACGTAGCTATAATGAAATAAATCAGGTAATAACAACCGCTCAGTTATATTCATCTGTTCAGTTTTGAGTTGGGATGTGACATTTCATAACGTGATGTTGTGATGTCACTGTTAAATACACAGCCTACATTTCCCTGTATTACGGTAAGGTCGCGGCGCGGTGAGCGTTGGGCGTCTCGGCTTGTTGTGGTATCACTCGGGCATCTTGCTGCATTTGCCGTGTTGTGGTTTAGATGCATCGAATTTAATCTCATTAAGGTTACTTGGATGGACTATTTGTTTTAATTGCCTTCTTTTGTTGCACTTAACATTTTTATACCATCGAAACTTGCAGAATGTTGCTGTCGCGAAATACTAATTGAAGATAACTTGTGTATTATGATGTGATAATGTGAAAACTCACGTTCCTAAATTTGTGCAGTATTTTTAGGTTAACAGGGAGAGAAACTGGACAAATGAGCAGTGACGGAAATGTAAGTTATTCTTGACTCTCTCACCATTACTGAATACTTTTTTCTGAAGAAAGGAAGCGGTTTGCAACTGAAATTGCAGCTATAATTGAGAATACTAACAGATCGTCGTTTTCAGCGCAGTGAATCAGCACCTGCACGTAGTGCGTCACGGAGTCGAAGTGGCACACCGATGGCCTCAGGTAAGAGTAATGGCCATGCTCGATCTCCCTCGGGCTCTCGACCCCGTTCATCATCTCACCATTCACTATCTCAATCACCAGTTCGTGAACGTTCAGCTGCTTCGCGATCGTCCGCTGGACATGAAGCTTCCAGATCTCCTTCACGCGCTCGCTCAAGATCACGCGACGACAGACGTGTTCGCCGCTCACGCTCACCTGAGGAACGAAAACGATACCGATCGCGCAGTCGTGACTCGCGCTACCGTCGACGAAGGTACTGTCTTAGTTGAAAGGTCTTTCGCTTTCCTTTCGGATCGATTTTACCAGCGTTGTTAAGGTTGTCTTTTTTCATAGCACCAACTCTTATTATTATTTCACTGATATTAATGCCGAACGGAGTGGGAAGCAACCTCAAATATTATATTGTTAATTGATACTTTTGGCAGTGAGAAAATCAGAACAGCTGAAACGCTGTGAGCGAACAGAATTCAAAAATCAGTCTCAATGAAAACAGAATCAATGAATCAGTGAGGCAGGCAGTTCAATATTGTCAGCGCTCAGAGTGGAACATCACAGTTTCAAGCTCAGAGTTGGCTGTCAAATCCAAATCAGTACAGTTCAGCATCCATCCTCAAATACCCAATGTGCAATGCACCACCACCACTACTATCGACAGTCAGTTGTGGTATTTATAATGCCGCTAGTAGTTTAGAATCCTATTTCTCCACTCCTTATCCTTTTTTCCTTGTACGGTAGTTTGAAGATTTTTCAATTGGTAGTATATGAATACGGACTGTAGCATTTAGGATAGGTCATTTAGGATGGAGGATTGAAGGGCGATTAAAATTTTGACAAGGGTGTCCGCGTATCTCCATGGTTTATATTTAAAAATGTCACAGCGTTGCAAAATAACTGATAAGGGTATTGGAAACCCTTCCTGTTATTTGAAAAGTTCGGTCTGGAATATTTTAGCATATTTCTAGTAAATTGACTCAATTCTGCGTTCTTTTCTTTCCTGGGACGTTTGCCTTCAATAGATATTCAGTGTTTCCATCCGTCCAGAAAATCTGTCGATGCTAGCTATGAAACCAGATACTCTTGGAACCTGTAAGTATAGAGGAAGAGTTATTGAATGAACATGAAAAAGGACATTGCTTATAATATATTAAATATCAGTCATACCAGCCTTTTATTCTGAGTCACATGAAATTCTGTCTAACTCTTCCTCGTTATTGTAAAGATTTTGTTATTATACTCTTGGTAAATGAACCAAGGAGGGGCTGAACTGCACAAATCATTGAAATAAATCACATTTCATGAATTCCCAATTAGAAAGCATGCTAGTTTGGTGTAGAAACTATTTGAAAATAAGAGAATTATGGACGATATAAAACTGCTTCAACACCACAGTTTCATTTTAGACATGTTTGCCTTCTATAAATTGAATTCTTTATTCTACATAACTCATTGCCAATTTGTGTCTCTTACAGTTTCAGCTATGCTGTAACAGAGTAGGTTAGTTCACGATTTGTAAAAGTTGTCAAAAGCTGCACACTATCTGGTTGTACCGGATTGCAAATCTACGAATACTTAATTCTATGATCCACAATGTTCGAATTCAAGATACAAGATGCCTATAATAAAACATTAAAATCGTATTCAGCCGATCACCATCGTCGCCAGCTCGTCGGCGCTCTCGTTCACGTCGACGCAGTCGCTCACGTTCCCCACGACGTATCAGCCGCTATTCACCGATAAGACGAAGTCGGTATAACGACGGTCGTGACAATCCAGAACCATGTTCCTGTCTTGGCGTTTTTGGCATGTCACTTAATACTACTGAACGTGACCTGAAACGAATTTTCGGCGAATATGGGGAAATTGAGTCAGTTCAACTAGTGTACGACCGCTACAGTGGTCGCTCACGTGGTTTTGGCTTCGTTTACTTTGAAACTACGAAGGAAGCAATTCGGGTAAGTCTTTTTTGCCGAAGTTTTATCATATATGGATCATTTTTCCAAATTTGCATCAAAGTGAGTCTAGTTAATAATTCGAAGAAACGAACTTTGTATTTACAGGCTAAAGATCATTTGCGTGATGCTGTCATTGATGGAATGCGCGTTCGTGTTGATTTTTCTGTAACCAAAGGAGCTCCGAGATAGTAAGTACATATTTCGAGCTTGAAAATGTTTGTCTAGGCTTATTGTTTGGGAAGGTTTATATATTTCTAGAGTTAAATGGGTATTTAAGTTGCATGAAAATTACGTGTTTCTGGATTCCGAATCTGGTATTCTTTTCGAAAAAGTGTTATCCAGTCCTTGTATAGTTACAGGGGGCGTTCGCCTCGTCGTTCTCGAAGTCGCAGTGTGGACAGCTATCGCAGACGACGTTCGCGTTCTTGAGAAGAGTGCGATGTTGAATAATTTTTTTTTTTTAAAATACTAATTTGTTCTTGTTTATGCTAACATTAATTGTATTCTCCATAATTAGTTCATAATATTTGTTTGCTTCTTGACATCATAAAAGCCGTAGCTATCCCATAAAAATTTGTTGTTATTCCTGGCCTCGTTGAAGGCTCGTATTGTTTTCATTAAGTGTTCAATCACTGAATGTACTGGCGCACAGTGATTTGGCAGCTTGGCTATATATTGGCTAGCCAATTTATCTAATCATGATCTATTTCTTAAGCCGTTGTCAGGACTTCGGACTTCGAATTCAAATATGTGATATTGGAATAAAGTCAGCCCCTTGGCCGATTTTTATTTCAATAAACGTTATCTTTATTAGTTGCAACAGTTCTATGTAGCCGTCATTAGTCGCGCTTTATTGACTTCAGATTATATTTTCCTTGTGAAGTATTCCGTTTTCATTAAATTATCTAACTATAGAACGTTGTTTATACAAATTCACGATATGTCATATCTGTGGGTCGGTTTTTCACATTTTGTTTTACTTAGAAGACGGTTTTACCATTTATGTTTCAACTGAAATGACTGAATACTGAGTTTGCGTAAGGCATTGTGATTTTGTTGGGTCTAAAATTGGGTCTTACTGCAGCATGTTGAAGGAGTTGCAGGTGTGTTTGTTCGTAAGATGATTGAGGTGGGGCAATTTTATTACATTTGTTGGTGAATTTCATCAGACATCGTTGACATTGGTGATATTCATGGGACGGCGTACTCTTGTATTTTGGTTCGAAGAATTCGAGTGAAGTATGTGGTTCTTCAGGATTTGGTGCATTTTTTTATGTCTGAATTAGCGTGATCTGTGGCGTATTTTATTGAAATTGAGAGTAATAGGTCGTCTTCTGGGGATAAGAGTTGCATATGAAGATGTAGTTATTACATTTCGAAGATTCTGAGGGAACAGGCTTGATGTAGTGTAAGTGGCAGGCATTTAAGCAACACTTTGCTGCATTTCTTAAAACGTCTTTGTTGATTATCCATTATAGCAATTCTGTTGTGTTATAGATTCATTTCATTTTCATTTTATTTAAGTCGTTTTCATTCGATTCCGTGTTTATTTTAACCTAGTTATTTTAAAATACAGAATATTAGATGGGTGATGAGGATGAATTGTCGAAGGGTTACCAAAATTTGTAATTAAAAAGCAACAGCTGCATAAACTAGGTAAAATAGTTTCTGAGATCATGGATAAATTTCCTGAAGTAGCTAGTTTTAATATTCAGAACTGTATATAGCAGTTATGTGAATAGGGAATTTTAATGTGAAATACATCTGTTATATTTCGCGCTGAGAGAATAGTGCTAATAAATGTGAGAACTTTATGGATTTGATTAATATCTCAATTCCGCATATAATTTAAGAAAGCACTACGAAAAATTCCTTTAAAAAAAGTTATAGCATCGTACACCGCTAATGAGTGATATTCATAAGCGAGATTATTCGTGATAAATCTGTCACTTGTTTGGAATGAATTTTAGTTCTACAAATTTATAGTTAAAGTTTGTGTTCCAAAGTTTTGGCTGATGAACTCTGTGCTGTTTTAGTGCTATGTTACTATTCAGTCGTCAGATCTATATATTAGCAAGAAATAATGACATCGAATGTATCTCCTGAGACGACAACTTCAACAGTACAACCATCATCTGCAAATGATCTAACATTGGTGGACTACTTTGTGCTTGTTGGACATGATAATAATGCTTTCCTCCAGGCAACTATTTTAATTTTTTTCTGAAACTGTTACATGAAATTTAGTTAAATCATCATGTCTAATTATTGGATTTATTTAAGTGAGATTCGTATATTTTTGGGTTGTGTTTTTGGACATCGTGCTACCACATTACGCTATAATCCATAAACCGTAAATTAGGTAGCTTCAAATACTCGTATTATTTTAGATCGAACCAGGCGGAACAAATAACTTAGATGCTGCGGAGCTATTATATATCCCACCTTTGGAGCGATCTTACGTTGCCTCAGTTTTGTATCATTTTCCGGAAAGACGTAGCGCATACTCGTTTCCATCCGAAATTGTTTCGGTACATATTTTGTTATCTTCAAAAAACAAGTATTTAGTAGAAAAAATCTCAGGCTTCATACGTTATAATTAAATTATATATACAGTACTATGACTTTTGGGCCTTAAAATATAAGATATATCGTATAGTATCCTCACTACTCAAAATTTCATGTATAAGATCATTCAAAGGAGGAATTACGGCTTGAAATTAATTTTTTCCGTATATACATCATTTTTTAAAGAGCCGTTTAATCGAATTTATCCCATCTAATTTTCTTTCGCCTTCAGAATTTCTCTGATTCCTTCTTTGCCAACATATTAGTTCTTTAACTAATAGTATAGATTAATGTGAAATTTAAGAGTTATCTTGTTTCTCTGAAACTGTTTTTCCGTGATTCATATCTTTGTTTTGTGACTTATAGCTTTAAAAAAAAACTGTAGCCATGGTTTGTTATGATAGTTGTAGAAGAAAATCGAGAAAAATGATTGTGTGTTTTTGGAATAATGGATTTTCAGTAAAGTCGGATTGGAGCATTCTTTACAAGTAGTCAGTTTTTATGCAAATTTATTGTTTAAGCTATGTATGCCAAAAGGCTTGAAATTTTACACGCAAAACGATGTTCCACCTCCAGCTATGCATACATTTGCGAATATTCGTGAAGATGGTTCACGTATTAACGGTTGTTCACTTATTTATTATGAGGTGAGTCTCTAATTTAAAATGAAAACCTCAGTTTATGCTGTAAAAAGATGTCAAGATTATTATAATATGTTAAAAAGAGTCCATGCATCAATATTTCATATTTTTATTGAGCATGGACCTTTAAATAATGAGTGGGAACGTATCCAAAAATATGAGAACGTTCATCTCCAAAAATATTTAAATAACATATCCAAAGATGTTGGATTGGTTGATAAGAACATCAAATGAGATTCAAAATACATTTATATGTAACTGTGGACTCGTTATTTCAATTATAAAAATTAAACAGCCAAGCACTTAACATATAAAGTTTCACAGAATTTCTAAAAAATTCGGTAAACTGCAAATTCTCATTTCAGCCTTGTTTTCTGTTAGTACACTGTTTGAGAAAGTTTTATTCCTTGGAGGAAATTTAGGAAGTTAAAGATACTAGACTATGTGAGTACATGTCACAGCTGCATACCGAACACGTACGGGTCTTAACAGCTCGCGAAAAAGCCACCGAACGTGCACACGTTCCTCCCGGTACTGTTTCTGGTGGTACACATACTCTTCCCAGAGGAAATCGTAAGGTTTGTTTAAATTAATGACTTGTTTTTTTTATTTTTTGTTATGCTAGAACTTTAACTTACCAGGTAAGCATTCTGATGATACGAGTCCTGTCATATCTTGTAATTCTGTTTGCAGAATCGAGCAAAACGAACTTCATACTACGACTCGGGCAATTCTCGGTTATATGTGGCTAAATGTATTTGCCTTATTACCCGCATACCTTTTGTTTCTGCCGGTGAACATCTACTGACTGCACTTCATTCTTTATTCACTTCTGAAGTACAGCCTCCTCCTCTTCCTCTGGAGAGTTATATCTATTGGATTTTGAATGAGGTTCAGAAGTTATATGCAGCACATTCTAAAATGTCATTCAGATTTAGGTAGAATCAGTCAAATTTTAACTCTGCTTCGATGTCTGAATTGTAGGTTAAATTTAATTATGGACCATCTATAGCAGCTTTAATTTGTATTTCAAAACATATTAACATAATTTTAGTCTTTCTTAAAAAATCTCGTTTCAGGTTCCACTTCCAGCGCCGGGTAGCACATTAAAGATATGTTTGGATCGTGTTGACATTGTTCTGCAAAGGCCAGGTCCTAATGAATTACCTTTTTTCGATCATCCTATCAGTTCGTTGTTCGATTTGCTCACTGTTGATAAATTTCTTCGACTTTTCACGTGTTTTCTTCTTGAACATCAAATATTACTGTGTTCCAGGAGTTAGTGTTTCTTGTTTTGCTTCTTACTTTTTTTTCTGCATTTCAGATTTTTTTAGTTTAGTTTCAGTGATTTATTTACAATTTCATACTTTTGCATTACTCTTCTTAGTATTAAATTTCATGATAAATTTATTTTGATAACCGTGATACTTTAGGTTTCCAACGTTTAATGCTAGTAGCTGAGAGCTTGTGTTCATTGGCTTTTCCGTTTCGTTGGCAACTTACATACGTTCCAATTTTACCTTACTCTCAGTTAAAGTTTATGGAAGCACCGGTGCCTTTTGTAATGGGTTTATGTTACGAAGATACCATATCAGAACAAATTTTTCAAGTTAGTATTAAACCTTTTTTTTTGAAATACTAGCTACAACTTTTACTGAAATGTTTTACTGAAAACTTGGTTTTTTAAAAAAAAGAAAAATTATTTCTTTGTGTGAAAATCCATAAAATTTAGGGCAACATATGTGTCCTAGATATCGATTCCGGTGTACTAAATATGCCGGAAGATGTACCAGCACTACCAGATAGAGTTGAATTTGCAAAAGAAATTGCAAGTGTTCTTATGAGGTGATGTTCCTTCTGTTAATTGATGGTAGTGTAAATAAATTTTAATGGCTGTGTAAAAAGAATTAGCTGTGTAGGTCACTTTTTTTTTAAATGTAAATTTGGGCTTTTAAGAATATGTACAACAATATAATACAAAATAGTTTGTTTTATATTTGTGGTATTAATCTTTCTCAATTGTTTGCTGAAAGTAGGATAGCATATACTTACTATGGAGTGATTGTAACATAGAGTTAAAAAAGAGTTTAAGATATGAAGAGCAGAATGCAGTTTTGGATGGTGAAGTAGTGAGACGACAGACAGGTATCACAGAAAAGGATGGCTGGTATAAGAAACGCATGTCCCGTTCATTTGACGGCGAAACATTGTCAGATATGCTGGAGGAGGATAATTCTTTCAGACAAATAGTGTCAAGAAAAGATCTTGCTCCATTGCCTTTTGACGATGTCCTAAAACAGAGTGAAGTTTTAGCTAGGTAATTTTTTTCACTGCTTATTTATTTTTAAGACTATAGCTTATTACCTTCACGTTGATTCATTTTTTTTTTTTTTTTCATTATAAAACGTTTTATTTGATATTTTCAGAGTTACTGCAATTGCACATCGTGCAGGCGTTAGCATACCGTTTGAAAATATTCAGAAAGAGTTGCAATCCAATGATCTTTATACAAATTCTCCAGTATGTCGCGAATATTTTAAGGTAAATGTTATAGATTTCTCTCGTTATCTTGCAGTAAGATAATGTAATATCTCAGAATTTGCTTTTCTTTTTTTTGTTGATAACAAAAGTACTGATATGTTCTAGTTAGTATTCGATTAACGATACATATTTTTAATTGCAATACAAGGTTAATTTTTGCTTGTTAGAGAGAATTGATGTATTATTTAATCTCAGTTTTTTTTTTTTATTAATAATAGTAAGGCTTGTAGAATATTTTTAGGATATGAAAATAAATAATGCTCTCCGTGAAGTGTTTATCAATCGATTTGCATGGCTTCTTTACTCCTATGAACATTTTGTTATCAATCCTGCATGCCAGGATCTTGAAACATATTTTGCTAGTCGAGAATCGGTTACTAATTTTGACAAAGCAGCTTTTCTTTCCGACCAACCAAGTAAAAACCTACCATTTTTGGCTGCATTCTTAGAAACGCAGGTATGATTATTTATTTCATCTTTTTCTTGTCTTCTATAATTTATTTGTCTTTTTCCAATCTACTTTTCCTGAAAATTCTTTAGTGCTTAATTGATAAAATATAATTATTTTAATATGCATAAAGTTTGATGTTTTCCAGATGTTCACTTCATTCGTTGACGCGAAAATTGTTTCACAGTGGGAAGCAACAGCAGACGAAAACCTCATAATTTTCGATTCTCGAATACAAACATTACGTACGAAGTATGGTCTTCAGATGGTGCGTACTCCTACTTACGAGAAGGCTCCACCATCCTTCGATTCAGGTTTTACTGAATAAATCATTTGACTTGAATTGTATGAACTTAAATTAGTATTTAATTGAATATTTTTTCTGCTTACTGTTAAGAAGTTATCATTTTTTCTACTTCTAAATATGCATCTGTTTTCTTAATAAATCGTTATCCAATATTTATCTGTGATAGATGGCGAGGAATTAATCGCAAGCAGTTGCTTTCTTTTTGAATCGTTAAGATATTTGAGTCATATGTTTCTGCAGTATCGTAGGATAAATTAGGAAGCAATCTTTGAACTAGCTTGATCCAAATAAAACATGGTGAAATTGGAAGTAGTAAAAATAAGAACTGGAATCATTATAAAATTAAAACAATAACTAATTTGTTTGGGAACTTTTCTGCAGAAGAAACGATAACAAGACGTGAAGAGGCACTTGATTACATTGTTCCTCTACCACATGAGCTTCCTGGTACATCGGCAAAAGCATATAATGGTACGTTTCCGGAACTTAATGAAACTGTTTTGGAAGGTTCTTTTGTACGAAGTCCAGCACCATCACCGTGGAAACAACGCCACAGAAGGTTGAGGCCAAAGTTGTTAGAGGTTAGCCTTTTGAAGTTGTCTTTATGATTTTGTGTTCCTGGAATTACTCTGTATTTATGATACTTCAAGGTTAATTTTATTGCAGAGTATTGTTGTGGATGGTAACACATCAAATAAACAGAGCTCATATAAATCGGATACGCCAAGGCAAATAGCACATCAGAATTGGAAATTTGTTGAACAGTTGTTGAAAGAAACTAAAAGTAAGCATTTTGTTACTGCCATATTCTAGGTATATTAGTAAGCATATAATATAAATCTAGATTAATTTATTGTTCTAGGTAAAACAAAGCGAATGCTTGTGGAAAAAATGGGTAGGGAAGCACTGCAACTTGGACACAGTGACGCTATTGTAAACGGTCTTGAAGAGAATACTTTAGTTGCTTCATTTTGCGATTTATTGGAACGAATCTGGGCCCATGGTTCAGTAAAGAAACAGGTAACTTCAATTCCATTTGAATGGAATAAAACGCTTATTAATAGTTGTTATGAAACCTTGTAGATTTCTTTACCAGATAAAAGCGATACTACAGCATTTGGGGGTTTCCTTTCATTTATTATTTCTAGTAAACTAATTAATATATATCTGCTACCTATAAATAAAACTTTATGATTTAAGCAGGCGAAATTTTAGCATTTCTTAATGAATCATTGATGGAGTAATATCCAATTTGAAAGTTTAATTAATTTTCCGGTATGTTTCATTTTTTTACATGCTTTCCGTCACATATGTGGAAAAAATTCGTTGTTGGAAATTTTTTAACCGGAAGTGGAAAATTGGGATATATTACATTTTTCAGTTGTAATCAATTTTGCTGTTCTGAATGAGCTTTTGTAATATATTTTCAAAGCATATTTGAACAAATCAATAATATGTTTAGCGATTTTTTGTAAAATTGCCATTTAGGGCAAATCATCCTTATGGGCTCATATCTTACATCATCAAGAAATTGAGAAGTTGGGAATGTTGTCCCGTGGTCATACACGGAGAAATTCAGCACTAACTCCAGGTATTTTATCAAAGATAAAGATGTAGGAAGTTATTTTTGGGACGAGCTGTTTCCGTAGTAAGGTTTGAATAAGAATTTATGTTCTACTACACTATTGATCCTTTGTTAGAGATAGTACTTGATAATCGTACAATAAGCGATTTTCTATTTCGTAAAAATTTGATAAGTGAGATAAATAGACAAATAATAATATGAAGCGAAAATTTGAGTCAACTAAAAGCAGTTTACAGCGTTTACATGGCTGTTATTCCGTCGTCACTTTGAGCGTAAGCAACATTTTATATTATCTGTTTTTGTGAATGAAGCTTTCGTGCTACTTTTACTTGCTCATTATGGTACTGAGGTGTGCAACGTGAATGTGCGTTCGTTGTTAAAATAATGCTTTAAGTGATAGTGATGACGCGTTTGTTATTCTGATTTTTAAGTATTTTTTTATTTTACTGAAAATCATACTAAATGTTTGTAATGTCTGTAGATGCTTTTGCTCGCTTTATTCGTTCTGTACATCTTTTCATTTGGTTTAAATTTTTTTATGTATATTGGGATAGATTTTCGGGAGAGATAACAAAGGGTGGAAAGCGTTGAAATTATTTGTTGATATAGTTTGAAGTAGATCTATTTCATCATTTCATTTATCATTTATCATTGACGTGTCGAGTTATCTTTTGTTTCCAGATTCTTAAACAGTTCCATATTGTTTTTTTTTTCCTGTTAGGTTTTAGCAGTGTTCTTCTAATGGAGCTATTGTCGAACTTCGTATTATTTCAGTAAAACTGATAGAGAATTTTATGAAGCAGGATTCCAAGATTCATTTTTGAAAACACCATTTTCATCGCGTCTATTCGGTCAATTCTAGGTGTAGTTGAGATAGAACAAGAATACATGAAGGAAGAAAAGACATTCGTAAGTGGCATGGATGAGGATACAATTAACGAGCTTGCACGAACCTTTCGTCAGCAATGCACTGATGATCCTCATACGCCTGGCTGGTCTCTTCCAATACTTCGCGCTGCTAATTTCATCTGTGATAAACTAAGTTCGAGTGTGAACAGCAACCTGGAATATTCGAACTGGAAATCGCCAGCTCGAACAGTACGCCCATCATGTCCGGTTATTTCTGAGCGCTCCAGGTCACCGCAGAAAATGTCGAGGAAGGGGGCTATTTTGCATAGAGCAAATTCTTTTGGTGGTAAGATTTTGAATGATATCAAGTTTGACATAGTCCGATTTGTTTGCAGTTAAATTTGCTGTCAACGATGTCTTCGACTTTAACCCGATTAAATAAGGCTATTCCTCATAAAATATTATTGTGTTGTTGTGTTAATAACTCTTAACGATTACAATTAATGCTAATTGCTAATGTTCCTTACAAGCACATATTTTAGGCAGTATTTCCTAGCCCTGACAAATATCATTTATTTAACAATACTTGTCAACTTTTAAATCAAGAACTTGAGTTGACTATTTTTTGTGAATAATAATGGACTTCACAAAAGCTGTACGCCAGATAGAAATTTATATGGTCAAATTTTAAATCCATCTGCTGATAGCTTGCTTTGCTTTAAAAACTGTAATTTAATTGAAAACTTATATAACTAAAGTTCACTTTCAGATGAAACAATTTAGAATAACATTACTTAGTAGTACCAACGAACGTAACTTTTGGGTTCGTAACTTTGCGCATTACCAAACTGAATTTAATTAATTGGACTTAATTTATAAAATTAATATTCATACTTTATACCTTAATTTTAGGGATCAAATAATGATTCTTGAGGAGTAAATCCACGCTTGATTGTAGCAGTCAATAACAAATTCGTGAATCTTTATTTTTGATGTAGATAGTTCATCCAGACTGTTGCTTAATTCATTATCTTCAAACGATTCATTACATTTAGAGATCAAACAATATCTTTTTAAAGCAGCGAATTCTTTCCTTTTTCTTTTATATGCTTTTTTTGCATTTGTTGCATTGCTGCAGAAGGAAGTGCGTTGCAAGACGACTATATCTGTTCATTCTCACTATTTGCATGTTTTACTTCCCTCTAATTATGTTGTATTTGTCGAAGAGTTATCTAAAATTATTGGTATGTCTTCTTTGTGTGCTAAATTACATTCTATAAAATTGCTTAGAACGATCTAATTCTCGCAGAAGCTTTTTCTTCTAACAAGTGATGGCTCGTAGCCATTTCAATTACTTTACAAATTAAACTTTTTCTGTATTCTTGATATTTATTTTGCTCGACATCCACAGTTCGTTTTACTTATCTCTAATAATACTGTTATTTGTTAGTAAAGAAAAGTAAATAGTATTTCACTCTCAGATTTTTTTGCATGTAGATTTATTGTTACGTTGACAAAGGTAAGAAGTTAAGGTACATAGATTTGTTAGTTCAAGATTTGTTCTATATCTGATTTTTAAAGTTTATGTTTGTGAAATATAATGTTCTCTCTGCTTATTAATATTTTATTTCTTAAATATCGTAGAACTGGTCAAAATGATATATTTTTTAGATTTCGCTCCATACTGGACTACAGCTGGAAATAATGTGGATGAAAATATAACTGATTCATCACGTAAAAGGAGTAATTCGAGAACTGGTAGTCCTGATATTCGACAGTTCTTTACACCACTTCCTATGCATATTGCTTATGATTTGAAGTATGTTAAAATCTTTGAAAAAATATGAATCAATGAAATATTAAATGTATTAAAAAATTAAATGTTAAATATTAAATGCAGTAATAGTTGTTTTAATGGAGTCTTTTTTTTTTCTTTTGTTTTTGAAAAGACAATGGATTACTGACCGATATTTCAGGAATGTCTTACGGATGACAGATATCAAAACTGACATTGGTTATGCGCGGGCATTTGTTCGCCTTGCTTTAGAAAGAAAACTTCTTCATAAGCATCTCAAAACCATTCTTGGCAACACGCATCTCTTAAAGTTAGTTTAACTCATTTATAATTGGTTCTTAAATGTTAGCGATTCATATTTATTTTTAAATTACTACTGTCGTTGTCTACAAGACACTCATTGCTATATTCTTGTTGACCGACGAAAATGAATTGTTTATAAAACAAAAATAACATGTGATTCATTTTATCTTTGAAAATCAGAATTCTGCTTTGCTGTTAAAGTATTTATTAAATTGACGAAGCGGAGTAGTGGAAATGTTTTTACATAGAAGGAATTTTATTGAGGAATAATTAATTCTGATTCAGTCATAATGAGTTTGTTTTTAGGCAACTATATAAACGATATGCCTTTTTACGGTGCGACGACGAAAAGGAGCAATTCTTATATCACGTGTTATCACTAAATGCAGCTGAATTTAACTGTTTTACCAACTCATTCAAGAAAACAAGTCATTTGCTCATACTTTCACTGTTTTTTTAGGACTCGTATGCATTTATAGATACTATAAATTTAATCAAGGATCAGCTTTAATTATTAGGAAGATTGCGTGATTGCCGAATGTTCTAAGACCAAGGAATCATCTTGATTATTTTATTCGAATAGCGGCAGTAATCGAATAACAATAAAAATAATATTTCTGACTAACTATCTTACTGATTTTTTAAACTCCTGATGGTCTCAGAACGCATTTCATATTATTTTTAACCTGGACTTTATCTGGATTTTTTGTTTAGTTGTATTTTGAATGGTATCTTTGTAGACTCATGTTACTAGGCGAAAATTAATGCTCAAAAGAAAAAATATTATGACTTGCGTAATACCATCATTAGTTTTGGAACGTTGTTCATACAGTATTTTCTTATTTTTTCGTCATTCCAGAAATGCAGTACCATGTTTTGTTGGTTAGTCGAAATTCACGTCCAGTTATTTCATGGCCTATATGGGTGATTATCACGGGATCGTTGTGCTCAACGACTCCAATCGAACTAAAACAGGGCATATTCGATTTCACATTCGATGTAAGCATACATGGTTATTCTACTGCAGATCTTTATTTTTGATATTATGGTTAGCTAAAGTTGTATTTTAAATGGTACCATATTTTCGACTTTTTAAAGCAGATGAAATTTAACAATAACTGTTATATGGTTCAAATTTCGTTTAGTTTTAATAATTTTATTGTAAACTAAATCTTTTTAGTGTTTATGTCCTTCATGAGAAAAGCTTATCGCAAAATTTTTTTAGCATAGAAATCTTGGTATACTGTCAACGTTAAGAATTGGGCATGGTAATTTAAATGTTTCTAATGGGACATCTCCGAAGTGGTTTCTTGATTATGTTTGTGATACTTTTTTTTTGCATTTTTCAAGAAAAGAATGATGTGACAAATATCTTTACAATTTTCTATTTCTTGCATCTGACTACATTAAGAATTTCCAGAAGATGTGTTTCCATGAAATTTGTTTATGTGCTTAAATTTCACTGTAGATATTGGTACGAAATGAAATAACAGGACAGAGTTATCGCTTTAACTGTGGTCGCTGGTTTGGTAAAGGAATTGATGATGACTCTCTAGAGAGATTGCTTGTTGCCGAAAAGGAACCACAGGTGTGTTTGTCACTGAAAGTGTTTTGTCAGTGAATGTAGCCGTTAGAAGTTATAATTTTTTTAATTCTGACGATTAATTGAGAATTTTAAACTAAAGTAGCCGGATTTGAACTATATATTTTTACTTATACAAGATACTTTTTTATCAGAACAATAAGAATTTATCAGACAAATTTTTATCAGTTGAATTTACTGAATTTTTTGGTTTTAGATTGCTCCTAACGAAGTATTAATCGAAGAATATTCTGCTGAGCGTATTATTAAAGCTAATTTGAAAAGTCGATCTCCTCCTAGGTCCCGATCACCAAGCACCAGCCGATCTGAAATATCAAATCATAAATCATCAAGTAGCATTTTAAGCTTTCATTATTTTTCAATTATTGTTGTAGTAGTTTACAATTATATGGAAGCGGAAAGTTAACTGTTTGTTTTATGGATGGATCACAAAATGAGTTTTGATAGAGGTTGCAAATGTCAGAAATTGCAAAAATATTCAAAATCCACTTTATTTTTAGATGCAAAAGTGTATGTCTTTGCAGGTGCACATTTGACAGAAATTCAGCAGCAGCTTGGAGAAGCAGTGAACGCGTTAGTGAAGTACTTCTACATTAATACGGAAGGTCGTAGTCGTGGTGAATTGACACAGTTACTTTGCGCGCCAGGGAAGGGTTTCGTAAGCGTAATGGTTGTTGTTTTCACATATGGCCGTCAGGATTCCATTTGGTCGTCTCGTCTTTTTCGTTCATACTACCCATGGGATTACATTGGTAAGTATCATGAAATTATAATAAAATTTCAGATGAATTTCAGATTTTAGAAATTTTATTTTTCTAGTTTACATCTTCAAAACATTTGTTATTCAAAGGAAAAAAAAGTTAGTTAGCCTTTCTATTAGTCATTTTAGATCGTTATTTTACTTTGCTAAACGAATTCATTTTGCATCTTGATTTAAGTATTATCTTGATGATATGGTCTTGAATACTATGTCTTCTAATTTATTATTGTTTCAGAGAAGGTTTGCACCTGGTTTTGGGATCTAGTACGTATGGAAGATGCAAAAAAGCTGACTCAGGAACAACGGTCTCTTATCATTCAAGCATGTCGCCTTGTTCGCCGCATTTCTTCCAATACTTTTCTGGGAAAAGATGGCAAATTCCAGTTATTCATTTTAATTGCTGTTCGGTAAATCATTTTGCTGCTAATAATCATTTTCAGTCTTTCATAATCAGAAAACTGAGCATATAGCTTTTTTTTTTCGCTAAAGATGCTGCATAAAAGTTAAGTCCGAAAACAACTTCCAAGTTTTTTTCAGAGATCATATACTGTCGGGATTGTTGCCATTGATGGCTCGGTCTCCGATAACTTCGCAGATGTACGAAGAGCCATCTTTTTTGCGAACACCGCATTATTTAAACTACTTATCAAAATTGATTAGTTCACTTAATGAATTCCAATTTGTCCTGGAAAAATCACTCACATATGGTATAGAGTGACTTCAGATTTTGTCACTAAAATCCGTCTGATTTTCTTTATTTGTCTTTTTGTTTCCTTGTTTGATTCAGGTATTACTTTAAGACTTAATTGTAATGTATATCTTCAGTCGTGTTTTAAAGACTGAAAAGAGAAAATGTCAGATCATTCTACCAGCTAAAGCGATTATAACTTAAAAGCTTTTCGACTTTGCTTTCCATGTTCTAATCTATATTTAGAAAATAATTGACTTAGACTTTGATGTAATTTGACGTCAAAGTCTAAGTTTGGCATATTTATAAGGATGATCGTTTCTATAACAGTTTAATATTATTTGAAGAAGCATACCTTTTTTACTGAAAGTAGTCGTTCTCCCTTATATGCTGCAAAATTATTTACTTTTAGGAATAGCTATTTTAAATAGCATTTTAACCATACGCATCGACTGAGAGAAATAAAATGTCATTGTTTTCGTTTTACATTGTTACTGCTCTGAATTTCTTGAGGCAATTGTTGAAAATAATACATTCAAATGATATCGTTTTGTGATGTGTTAATTTAGCCAATTTATAGTACTTTTCAAGCTATTCTAAGTACTCTAAATTTATTAAAAATTTCTGGTGATGCTATCAATAGTTCCTCAACTAGTTTGACTCAGAGAATCTTGCTGTGCAACTTGCCAACTACGAAGTAAAGAATTCAAGGTTTTGGATTTTCTGTTCTAAATATTTTCAATTGGATTACTTATTTTGAAATTGTGTTTTTCTCATTTTATAACATTTGCATTTTCGAGTCTTTCAGTTTCAACAAAAGGCTATTATTCCGAGTTTTCTTTTAACTAATGAATTTTAGTTTCACCTGACTGCGTGATAGTGCTTTTTACATACCTTACTGTATTTCAGTGTATTTGTTTTTTCATCGTTTATAAAATCTATTTATTTTATGAATTTAGTCAGTTGTATTTTAAAAATGCTGCGTCATGTTGTTTTCCTGTGTTTTTATGTATTAAATTATAAATTTGTTTACCATGACTTGAAAATGTGTACTGTGTTCCAGAAAATTAAAGTATGTGCTTGAGATTTTTTCTTGCAAATCTTAACACTTGGCATTCTTTCAAAATTATCCGCCTAAAGGGCTTTATTTTTTAAACATATTTACAAACTTCATACAACTTTTATGACTGAAAATTTTGTGTTTAACACAAAGGGAAATCTTCTAAGGATGGTTTTAGAAATATTGCACAATCTGATCTGCTCCCAATTAACTGATACATAACTCTGCATTTAAATTGAAGAATTTAAATTTTCTGTCGGCGTTCTTTTTTTTTTCTGATTAATTCTTTTGATCCAATATTTCATCGATGGGATGAAATCATAATAATTACAACTTTTTTGTAGATAGAGCATCTTGTATAAATCATATTTTGTCAAAAGAATTAGACGAAACTTATAAGGAATTAATTTAACTAACTCAAAAGTTGTGTGGAACTGAAATCTACTCGGATTTATGGAAAAGCATTACGAATTGTAATAAATAGTTGACGACCAATATGGAAGATTCACCACTTTTAATTCGTGTCAGTACGGCAGTAGCTTATGCTGTATGTTCTGTGCTAGTTGTTTTTATCAATAAAGTATTGCTCACTAACTTCAGGTTTGTTCCCATTTCATTAACTTTAAAAAAAAATGTATTTATTTGTTTATTTATTTATATTAAAAGTAGGCAAGTAATTGCAGAATGTATTTATTTTTTCGAATTTATATTATAATGTTTCACTTATATCAATGATCCAATTGTATGTATTCCTCAGTTCAGATTTCCATCATTTTTAATTGTTGGATTAGGACAGATGACAGCAACTGTTATTGTTTTGTGGTTTGCTGCTCTCTGCAATTTCGTTTCAGTTCCAGCATTTGATTCATCCGTTCCGCTTAATGTAAGTCGAATCACATGTGCAGTATCACAGAACTACTAAAGACAACAAAATAAATTATTAAAAAAAAAAGTTTCTGTGAATTGAACTGGACAGTTATAATGATTTTTGAATTCCGTTTTATTCGGGTGTATTTTTTTTTCAGGTTTTTCCATTGCCAATATTTTATGTTCTAAATTTGATATCTGGACTAGGTGGTACACAGAGGATAAAGTATGTTTTTCATTTTGTAATTCATAATATTTTCATCGTTCACTTGCAAATTTCATTTAGTATTAAATTGCATGTAAAATTATATCAATATTTCCAGTCTTCCGATGTTCACTGTGTTACGTAGATTCTCAATCTTGATGACAATGGTGCTAGAATATGTTATACTTGGGTTAGTTTCTACTTACTTATCTTTATCTTCATATCATAGCTTTGGATTCTATTCAGAAATGTCTAAAATTTGTAACTGCTGATTGTTTATTTTACTTTTAGATCTGTTTAGTAATACACACACAAAAATTCTATCCATCATACGAGTTTTTTAGTGTACTCAGTTTTTATTATTAATTTAATTGGGAGTCAGTCAGTATGCAAGTGGGGAAGACTTCCTTCAAAAAAAAAAAAAAAAAATTTGTGGATAATTTTCTTTTCTAAATTTGTTAATTTGATGTAAAGTTCAAGCTTGAAGCATTTCCAAATTGCCAACGTTTTCAGTTTTACAGGGTGAAGGCATCGTATGCGGTGAAAATCTCGATTGCTTTAATGATTTTAGGTTCTGTGATTGCAGCTGTGTAAGTTTATTTGATTTTTTCAATGTCCATATAATATGACTGTAGAGTGACAGTTAAGCTGTTCGCTGGTTCATTTAAAACATGATTTAATATTGAAGAATATTACTTTCTATGGATTCATCGAAGTTTTACTGCTATGAAGTTTCTTAGCAAGGTGATTAGTTCTATTTGGTGCGGAATATGAAACTTGATGTAAATCCTTTTGCTACGTATTTTGTAATGATTGCAAGAAGGGCTTTTGATTATTATGCGAGTAAATGTAACCAAAAGTTCACTTTCAAGAGAAAAAAATGAGAAGCAGAAGAATTCTATATATTTTCAAATTTCAGTTTTACGAGATGAAAAAATCCATCTATTACAAATTCTTCTGCTTCTTATATAATTAGAACTTCATACAGTTTCCATTTCGCAAAATTTTGCTGAATTTCATGTGCCTTAAGCATAGTACTTTGTCAGTATTAAATTTAATTAATTAATTAATTAATTCAGTCATTTATATCATTATATTACCCAAAATTTCGCTGGTTTACTAGGAATAACTTTTAGTTTTGCTGTATTACTATAGTTTAAAATTAGCATTGCAAAAAAATTTATTCTTCCAATTTACAGGTTTGATTTAACATTTGATATATGGGGATATTCGATGATTTTAACCAACGACATTTGTACAGCCGCTAATAGTGTTTACATAAAACAAAAGCTTAATGCTAAGGTATAACTTTAGTTTTTAATGTTCTGACATAACCATTTTCATATGTAATGTCTTTTTTCCTGTGCTTTGGCTTACTGAAAATCAGACGGTTTCAGAAGTTTGGTAAATATGGCATTTTATATTACAATGCATTGTTTATGATTTTTCCTGTGATTGTTTTGGCCTGGATAAATGAAGAATTTGAAAAGGTATTGAACTTAAAGTGGCTTAGTTTTTTCTCTTGCAGCAGGATTTGTTTGTTATTATTATTATTAATTAGTTAATTAAATTATCAGTGTTATTATTATTATTTATTATCGCCGCATCATTCTGGCAGGACAATCCTTTTCACTATTGCTAATTTATCGGTATTATTATTGTCGTTATTTTTACTACTTTTAATTGCGTTTTTTTCTTGCAGTTAATCTCAATGACTTGAAATTTAGGTTTGGATGACATTCTGCTGATTAACTTGCAAATTAACTTACAAAATTTAAAGCAAGCATCAAATATTTTGCAATATAGTTTGAAACACTTGAAAACGGTTGATGTTTTTTCTTTCTATTATAGAATTTCTTACATGAAAACAAGAATTGGAAAATGAAATGTCACATATGCTTAAAGTGACATATGCTGAAATCAAAATAATTGATTACTTTTTAGGTGCATCAATACATAATCGCTGGAAATATGACTATATGGGTAGCTGTTTGTTTATCCTTTTCATTTGTTTGCGGATTCTTACTCAATTATTCGATTATTTTATGTACGCAGCACAATAGTGCCCTTACCACTTCATGTATTGGTCCAATTAAAGTGAGTGCATGTTATTTTCTCAAAATATTTTTTCAAACGCTTTGAGTCACTTATCTCTTGCTGCTAAATAAACTTCAACTGGAAAATGTAATGTCTAGCTAATTTGCATTGAGAATTTTTATATGAAAGAGAACCTTCACTGCATAACTAGCTAGACCTGCGTTCATTTAGTCGATTGTTTTACACGGTGATGACTTACTTTATTCATATTATAGAAGTTTTCGAAACCATCTCGTAGTTTTATATAATAGATGATTCACCGCTATGTAAAATAATCGATTAAAAAAAAAAAATAATCGACTTTTGGTCATGAATTAATGAATAGCAAAAAATTGAGATTTATTTCAATTTTCTGGAAATTAAGTTTGCATAGTATGAAGTAAAATGAAAAGAGTACTCTTTGTACATTTTTAACGAATATTTAACGAATACGGATGAACTGATAAGACTACAAATGAAAATCATTTATCACATATGCATGGTGTTAAATGTCATCAGTGGAAACTGCAGCTATATCCTTTTCTCTCCAAGTTGTCATCCTGAATGAATGAATGAATGAATGGATGAATCTTCTGCAATTAAACTCTATGCCACACTATCTGCCAGAATTTAATATTAAATTGTGTTTTTTCTTTTCCTTCTATCTTCAGACAAAGTTTTATATTTTAGAATTTACTTGTAACTTATGTTGGAATGTTCTCATCAGGCGATTACTTGTTTGGATGGAACAATTTTATCGGTATCAATATCAGCATTATGGGAAGCCTTCTTTATACTTATGTTACATTTAAAACAGAGACA